AAGTATGCGCAGCAAATCAGTGAGATGCACTGAAAACTTCAGTGCCTGCAGCTGGTATTGGTCAACAGAAGGGGTATAACTTCTCCATGACCATGCCCAACTACATGTCCCACAATAGTTGCTTCAAAAGTTGAAAGAATTGGGCTACAAAGTTGCCTCATCCACCATATTCACCTGACTTCTTGCCAACCAACTACCACTCCTTCAAGCATCTTGATAACTTTTTGCAGAAAAAATGTTTCTACAATGGGATGCTGAAAATAATTTCCGAGAGTTTGTCGAATCCTAAAGCACAAATTTTTACACTACAACAATAAACACTTATTTCTCATGGGCAAAAATGTGTGTTTATCGTAATAGCCCCTATTTTGACATAAAAAGATGTGTTTGAGCCTAGTTATAATGATTTACAGGTCACAGTCTGAAAGGGCAATTACTTTTGCACCGCCTTCATATTACTTATTCTCAGGCTGGCAGTGAAAATTAAATAATAAAATGCTCACATTTGACCCAGCAGAGTGGGTCATAGAATCAGTGCCACTTACCATTTGACCTTTGACAAGTCTCTGAACAGCTTGGAAACTCCAGTTCTTTATTTAAAATGATGGGAGTTGCACAGAATTATGGTTTGATTCCTCCAAGCTGTAAAATGTCATGATTTTTTTTTTTTTTTAGTGCTAACTAGATCTCAAGGGAAATAATCCACTGACCTATTTTCTCATTAATGCCATTTGGTGAACAACAAGACTAAATATTCGACTGCACTGGAGAAATGAAAACATTATGATTCACAGGCAGGGTTGTATTCTGTCCCTCAAAATCTGGCAGATGTTGGAATACCGGGAACAGAGAAAGCAGCTTCTATTACATTTCCTGTATGATCATAGAGGAAGAGCCCATTCCTCTCTTAACCAGATAATTGTGTAGGTGTAGCTGCCAAAATCCTAAACCAAATATGCCAAGACTAAGACTGCAGAAACATTTTAGTATGCCCAAGTAAACTTCAAATCCAGATAAACAACAATTTTCATTTAATATAAATATTTTCTAGATATTGCATTGTACTAAATTATTCTTTGCTTATCAGACATTCTAATGGAACTGGGAATCCTATATTTTTATTTACTAAATCTGTCAACCTTACAAAACAAAATTCACATAGCTGTCTTTTTTTCATATAGCTGTTAAAAAATGTACAAGTACCCTCAAATCTATCCCCCTCCTCTGTTCTCATTGCCATTTGGTTAAGGTGGGATCATCTCTAAGGGTCTTACCACTACACTGAGGAACATTAACTTCTATTGTATTTTCTACTGATGAAAAGAGCTTCATATCCATTTATTCATTGCCATGCCTTTACACAAACTCTGGGTCTCCAAGAGATGCTGGTTGACCTAGTTGGAGGGTAAAGCCCATGACAATGGCCAGAAAACTCAACTATCAAACTTAAATAAGACTCCAACTAAACATTCATATGGAGATTGGTTTCAATTCTTTATTATTCCAATGTTAACACCAACCAGGTTAATGGGGTCAAAATTGCATTTGTTGGGTCAGAGCATGAAGTGGTGTTTAGACGAAAAGACAATTGTTAAAACCCACAAAGAGAGCTAATGATAATGAGATGCTTAATGGTGTGATGGAGGAGAGACAGCTGTAACACTCTTAATGGAAGTTCAAATGATTTTCGGTGAACTTTCTCTAACTCTTTTGCTCTTGCATTATGTATGATTTATCACATCTAAAGCTTTGAGCCCAATGGATAAGCCTGGATTTTGAGATATAGTTTTAGGCACTCTTTAATCAGTTCTGAGGTTTTGTTATACATGAGCTCCCTTTCCTTTTGAAAGTAAACATAGGTAGCACTTACTCAGAAAGTACACAGCGAGATGATATTAGTGGAAGGTAATAGTGAAACTGACAAATTCTAATTAATGAAACAATCAATGATCAGATTCATTGGATAAAAGTCACTTTTGTAAATTATTATGTCAGTGGGAGGAAATACCCCAAGCCAAACAAGATAATATGCTTTAGGACCTATGGAAATTGTCTTATTGCATCGCTCTTCTCCATAAAACAGTACAATTTGTCACTTGTTCTCCTTCACCATTACCCTAACCCGTAAATCTCTCATTCTGACTGTGTGTCTTTCAGGAAACCAGCATCCTATGGTCTTTAAGTACTCCAGAATTAGAGGTGGGTTGAACTTATGGCTCTGCCGCACTGCTACTTATGAGCTGCATGACCTTTTAGAATTCACTTAAGTTCTCTGACTCTCAATTTCTCCTTTTATACATACATGCATAGAATACATAACATCCGCATCTCAAAATTGTAGTGAAGACTAAGTCGGTTAGTTCATGCACAGTTCTAAGCACACAGTAAGTATCTATTATCTTGAAAGAAGCTAATTCCTAGTATTGATTTTAATGGAAAATATAAAATCATACTGGTATTAGGGAAAATGGGTAAATTCTGCCATAATCTTTTAGACGGTAAAACCTCCCAATTGTGACTCAAAATCACGAACAGTAACAGAAGAAACTGCTAGGTTGTACCGTAAAACCACAAAAACCTTTGCTTGGCAAAGGACAGCATTATCGAAGTTAAAATTAAAAGAATTTAAACCTGAAAAACTGGACAAAATTATTCCAGTCATAGAATATCTCTAACCCCAAGCTGCTTCTTCCTGTCCCTCAGGTATTCATTCCTTTCCTCCCATTTCTGTCTGCCTGATCCTGAGCATTGTATCCTTGTCTTTCTTGAAGTGATTTGCATCCACCCTTGTTTCCACATGTATCTAAATATTACTAAGATTCACTCTCCCTAGAAATAACCCCAAATTGGGACTTCCTTTACAAACAGCCTACACTTCACACTTGGATTAATAATTTTCCATGAATATGACCAATTTATGTCAGCACTTCTAATTATCGGGGATTGTGTGTGTTTTCTGTAATCTGGACCCAACCTTGTATAAAAATAAGAATGCAGTGTGAAAGAGAGAGACAAACCTTTAATACTTCTTCTAAAAGCCATAAGAATCCGTATTGTCTCCAGAAATAAAATTTCCTCAAACAAAAGTCTTGACCCAATTATCTCTCAGGTTGGGACCTAACAACTGTTTCCTTGATCTTGATTGTTTGTTCTCTTCCTGCCTCAAGGGATAACATGAATTGAAGGGCTCAGCTTAAACATAACTGGTTAAACAGCACTTGTAACCATCTCACTTTAACATTTTGTTTTTT